AATGAAAATGGTTTGTATTTGTGGAAGTATATTTGTCATAATCTTTTTCATTAGGTCTCAGAAATACCGTTTTTGCTAAAGCCACAGGTGGGGAGGTTGGAACTTGCTGCAATCTAACTCCCATGTTCATGAGCCAGATTGAAATCCATACACCTGCCGATTATCGTACGATAATCGCGGGAAATCCCGCGATCGTACGATAATTGGCAGATGTATGGAAGGCGTGCGAACGTTTCTACTGTACCGTCGCACGTCTTTTGTCTTAAGCGCACACTGCCCGTTCAGCATTGCAGTCATCGGAAGCCCGCACCTCAGGGGGGCGGGCTTGCGATGATCGCAAGTACGATCTGCCTGTCCAAGATGGGCAGATCGTACGTTTTTTTAATTACCTTAAAACCATCGCAAGACAAAAGTCTTGCGTTGTTTGTAAGTTGTATGGCCAGCTTTAGAGGCATGACATGGAAAAACAGTGAAAGTGATCCCAGTATATTTTTCATGTTAAAGGAGAAGTATTGGAAGTGTAAAACATACTCTTCCCAATACTTAAGCCATGACACTGTACGCAAAGCAGCGCGCAGTGACGGCACACGGACCTCCGTGTGCAGTGTCTTGTGATTTTCACTCTGGCACGTCAGCTTGCGAAAAAAATTCATCTTCAGCGAATCAGCTCGTGCCTCAGGATGGGAAGTCCATTGAGTTGTTACGCGCAAGCTGATTGGCTGAAGATGCAGTCTTTCATCTGGCCACGCTGCTTTCACACACTGCATGCGAACGTCAGTGCCTTGCAGCTTTGCTTTGCTATACAAGGCTTTACATGCAGTGTGTCACAGACTTAAGAGTCGGAATCTGAAGCTGCAGCTGTCACACGCTGGCTCTCTATACCGACATCTCCTATACTGAGATTACTTACTCTGATTTCACTGCACACTTTGAGCTTCTCATAGGGTGTGTTCGAGGCCGCAAAAGGTCAGATACAGCTCGCTTCATTTCTTGCCTGGAGGACGTCCAGCATCATTTATTTCAGTTTGTATTTCAGTTCTTTTAACCATTGATGCTCAGTATTACTTGTGGGCATTACCCACAATTATTATTAGGGCAGTGTGCATGCAAATACCCGCACCTTCTGACTGACACCATTCCCCTGCCCAAGAACCTGCCCACCGCTTGCATCAAGGCTGAGGGCTCTTGAGAGGGTGCTGGTCTGTTTTCAGGAAGCTATGCACAGCACACTGTTGGTCTGACCCACCAGCCATGAATGCAAAATTGTTTTTACTTCATCATTATTGGTACATTTATTTATTTTTTCCCCCCAAAAGGTGGACTATGCAACTATACCTTTAATTCAGTAGGGGGCATGTCAGACCTCTACAGAGAGACCACTGTGTCCCCACAACTGCAAGGGTCCTTTTCTGTATCAGAAGGCTTTCCTACTCATACTGCAATTACATTCTAAAGAAAAAGAACTATAATACTTGGTACACCTTTTGTTTTGATTCCTATAGAATAAATTTAGATGCTTTAAATCAAAGCAGTAGTAAAGTGACAGTGAAAAAAACAGGAGCTCTAAGCCACAATGTGCTAGTGTGTGTAGCATACAAGCACATTATAGCAGACTCGCATGCCAACCCGATCCCATCCACCACCATGATCCTCCCTCTTCATCATTTCCATGTTTGGCTCAGTTCTCTTCCAGTTCTCTTGATTGGCTAGCCGACATAAAGTAAGTATCGTGCACTGTAGTTACTTAATTCCAGCATGCCGGGCCTGCACACTGAGCTGCGCATTGGTACAGAAATAAAAAAGAAAAAACGCTGAATGGTAGAAATAAGTTTTTATGGCATAAGAGGCTTGCACAATCTTTTCTGCCCAAAAAAAGCCTACCAAACGGCATTTTATACAAATCTTTTACTTCCAATTGAAGGAGGAACTTTACCATTAGCATTGAAATGATAATAAAGGCTCCTTTAAAAATGTTTAGTAATGACAATCTACAAAGATAAATAATTGCCGGCTTTTTATTCTTTGCTTGCCTTGTTTTTCTTTCCTTCCCATTTTTCTCACAGTGGCCCTTTTTACTGAGGGCAGATTAATATACCTCCCTTTACTTCCTGGAACTCTGGCACATGTGACCATGTGCATCATCTCAGGGGAGGGAAATGCCTTTCCCTGAGATCTCATGAGATTACACACAAGATTTCAATAGTAACATAGTATCCGTGGTTGAAAAAAGACACGGGTCCATCAAGTCCAACCTATAGAGTGTACGCATGTCAATCTACATGTGTATAAGTGTGGATGAGTCCATGTGCCATCTTCTTCTTAAGTGTACCTGTACCCCTGTATGTTGCGGTCTCCGAGGAAATCGTCCAAATGCTTTTTGACCGATTCAACATTCTTAGCTGAGATCACCGCTTGCGGCAAAGAGTTCCATACCCTGACCGCTCTTACTGTGAAGAAGCCCCTACGTCCCTTGTGCTTGAATTTTTTTCTCCACTAATTTTAGATGGTGGCCTCTAGTCTTTGTTATGGAGGTTACCGTAAAACTTTATTAGTGATGTTGCTATCACCATTGAACAGCTTGTACAAGAAAATCATATCTCCCCTTAGTCTCCTCACTTCCAGAGTAAACATGTTTAAATTTAGTAACCTTGTCTCGTAGCTTTGGTCCTCCATCCCCTTAACTAATTTGGTTGCCCTTCTCTTGACTCTCTCCAGTTCAAGGACATCCTTCCTGTTCAAGGACATCCTTCCTGTGGACAGGTGACCAAAACTGGACCGCATACTCCAGATGAGGCCGAACCAGCGATCTATTAAGTGGCAAACTTATATTATTGTCTCTGCAGTACATTCCCTTTTTAATACAAGATAGTACTCTGCTCGCTTTGTTTACCACGGCCTGGCATTGCAAGCTATTATTCAACCTGTGGTCTACGACCCCCAGATCTTTTTCCATTTGTGATTTCCCTATTGGAGTTCCCATTAATGTCTAATCCGCTTGCCTATTTTTGCCTCCAAAGTGCATAACTTTACATTTATCAACATTGAACCTCATTTGCCATATATTTGCCCACTCTGCAACTTTATCCAGGTCCCTGTGTAGTGTTATAATGTCTAAGTCTGTGTCTATTACCCTTCCGATTTTGGTGTCATCAGTGAACACGGAAACATGACTATTCACTCCCTCCCCGATATCATTAATAATCAGGTTGAATAGCATAGGACCTAACACAGAGCCCTGAGGCACACCGCTCATGACCCTAGACCAATCTGAAAAGGAGCCATTTATCGATACTCTCTGTACACGTTCCTGTAGCCAGTTCTCTATCCATATACACACCATTTCATCTATGCCCATCGATCTCGGCTTGTGTAGTAGGGGTTTTATGTGGTACAGTGTCAAATGCTTTGGAAAAATCCAGAAATACCACATCCACCGGCCTCCCTCTATCGAGATCTATGCTCTGCTGATGAAACCTTCCCAGGATGCAACACTTTGGCACATAACATACAGGTGAAACTCGAATAATTAGAATATCGTGCAAAAGTAATTGCAGTAAGTGCTGCAAAAGGGGCCCAAACCAAGTACTGAGTACATATGCATGCTTGTACTTTTCAGAGGTCCGATATTGTTCTATGTACAATCCTTGTTTTATTGATTGCATGTAATAATCTACTTTTTTGAGGTTGTGGATTTGGAGTTCTTGGGGTTTTCATGGGCTGTAAGCCATAATCATCACAATTATGACAAATCACGGCTTGAATTATCTTGCTTTGCATGTAATGAGTCTATCTCATATATTAGTTTCACCTTTTAAGTTGCATTAATGAAATAAATGAACTTTACACAATATTCTAATTATTCGAGTTTCACCTGTAATTTGTGCCAAAGTGGACCAGGAAGTGGAAAAGCTATAATTGTAAGTAAAAGAAAAATATGATTGACTAATGAATATAAGATGATTTCATAGCAGCATGCAGAGCTGAATACTGATGTGATTTTTAGTAAAAGGAGGTCAACTTTAATGTTCACTTTGGTTTTAATCTGGGGAATGGTAGCTGCCCAATGAGCACACACTGGATTTTATGTAGTGCTAAGTGCACTGTAAACACTTTTTTGCCCCCTCCCCTGACCTGACTGATCCAACCCTCATGCTCCCCTGACCTGACTGATCCAACCCTCATGCTGTGCAGATCTATTCTGAGGGAGATCGAAGGGGGAAATGGCCCATAGACGTCTATGGGGCTGTACTAACCACGTGCAGCCAGCAGAGGGAGTATTGCTGCACCGGATGTAAACAAAGCAGAACCGTGCCTCTCTATTGCAGGGACAGTGGCATGGTTTAGGTAAGGGTAGAAGAGATTAAAACATGTACTTTGTTTTAAAGTTCACGGATTCGTTAATGTCCGAACACTCGTACCGTTTGTTCACATTCCCTCCCAAAGAAGTTCACCTATAACAGGCACACCCGCAGTACAGCTTCTCACCAGCTGAGGGCGCCGTACATCACACTAATGGCTGACAAGTGCGTCTTGGCAACAAATCCTCCGCTGCCTGTGTACACCCCGTATAGTCCCCACCTAACAGGAAATAACCACAGGCCAAAACAGTCCCTGCTGCTTAGTGCATGCCCGTATCCATGTACGGTACCAAACACAGCAACGCAACATTCTTACGTCACGCCACCTCCGGATGTGGCGCACGACGTTCAAGCTTCCAGCTGCGCCATCCTCCCGCGTTCTTTTGGGTGTCGCAGTAAGAGCGCTCACAGTGGTTGGGGGAGCAAAGAGCCACCGGAAGTCTTGCGCAATCCGGCCCCCCTCCCCGGGGTCAAGCAGCCGCCAATCGGCGTCGGGGAACCCTGCCTGTAGGCGTGGTCATATCTCCCAGCTCGAGGCTTTCTTGTTACCGGCATTCCGCCCAGACGAGCGGCTTTGAAGTGCGGGGCCGGCGGTGCCTGTGAATCAGCGGCGAGCTTCGGTGTAAGCGGTGCTTCCCCTTCCCGGGTGGAGCCTTATCGGTGTCCATAAGCGATCCCCTCAACTCACACTCGGACACAGACGGGCGAGAGGCTCCGGCGCTCCCATCATGGCTGACAACGACAAGCTGGACAACCAGCGGCTGAAGAACTTCAAGAACAAAGGCCGCGACTTAGAGGTAGTCACCCTTCCTCTTCCTTTTACCCCCATCTGAGCTCGGCTCGGGGATACCGGCACACACATCCGGCCCTCTGCGCTTCCTGGGCCCGGCTGTGACGTCGCTGTGCCCGGGCCTGGAGTGCAGCGAGGCCCAATCCTTTCCACGTCAGGGCGGATCCCGCTTCCCCGCCAGTCTCTCCTCCATACCGATCCATGTAGTACGGCCGGCGGATGAGTGTAGAGCGGCCCCGGGGACTCCCTGTGTCATGAGTAACCTCGGGGTGGGCGCAGGTGCAGCATATGATCTCACCCTCTGTTTGTGTCCGAATAGATCATCGGGGGGGGGTTCTAAGAGTCACATCCACCCCCGGGGAGGCATCAGCCATCGATGTCTGGGATCAGACTGTGTGTCTGCGGAGGAGTCAAGTATATCCATAGCCAGCGTTTGTTTGGATGCGGCTAGGGAATGGTTGCAGCTGAATGCTGGTCTTTAAAACAATCTCAGTGCCTGCCCATTGCCAGGGTGATGTGGAGGGATACCTACCTTATACCCCTCGCTGTGGTAGGTTCCCTTCACTTGTATGATAGCCCCTTTAAGGCCTCTTCTGTAAGATGCTCCTGTTTGCAGTCACATTGATGCCATCAAGTTCAATGTTGGGCCAATATCATTGTATGTGAGAATGACGAGGGCCCGCAACGTCTCGGGGTGAGGAATATGCAAAGTATGGCACATTATACCTCTAGGCTTCTTTGAGTATTTAAAGTGACACTAAACTCAAGAGTTAAATCTTAAAAATGCATTCAGGTACCTTTTTTAGTTATTAACACAAAATGTATCTTATTGGTGTATCACTGGGCTGTAGATCCTCCAATCATCTCTGAATTGGTGCTGACACTGTCCTGGAGGGGGGCTACTTTTGTTCCCCATGGTCCCTGTGTGTGTGTGTGTTGTAAAGAAGCCATCGCTCCTCTGATGGACTACAATCTCAATACAAATATGTAAACTGAAAATGAGATTGTAGTCCATCGCAGGAGTAATCTTGGAGTGGTGACTACTGTACAACACACACAGGGACCATGGGGAAGAAAAGTAGCCCCCCTCCAGAAGGAAGGGTGGTGTCGGCACCAATTCAGAGATGATTGGAGGATCTAGAGCTGAGTGATACATAAGACACATTTTTGTTAATAGTTAAGGTACTTGAATGCATTTTTAAGATTGAATTCCTGAGTTTAGTTTCCCTTGAACTCTTGTGGTTCACTGCAAGGGCATTTTGTTTTTATAGATCCCGGAGTTGAAGGGTTGGTTGAACAAATAAAAAGGTGCACTAGCCTCTAACGACCTCCTCCTGGTCCCTACACCAGCCAGTAGGGCAATCCTGGGAACTTGAAAAGTTTACTACCCAGACCCGGGGGCTGCATAGCAATGTAATGGTTGCAGTGGGGAGCCCCACGACTGTGCTCAACAATGGAAATCATCTTTCTTCTAGGATGGTGTCCTGGAAGAATTAAAGCTCAGGAGAGGTTTTCGCTGGTCACACAGCTACACTGGCCAATCACTGCTCCCCATTGTAACCATTATGGTGCTGTGGACTCTCTGAGGCTGTGTAATCGAGTTTTTTTTTTTTTTCTAGTTCCCACACCATTTTGACACCAGGCGCATGTCATCATTACAGATAACTAGCACATGTCATCATTACAGATAACTAGCACATGGTGTTGAGTTCACTTTTTATTTTTTTGTGAAAAGGTGAACTAACCCCTTTTGGTGTTTAAAACACTTGTCGGGTTTTTTTGTTTTTACATCTACTTGGGAGCTTTTCTTCATTTCCTGTCCCATGGACAAAACAGGAAGTCCATAGAAAACTTGGACTTAAAACGGGATGACTCCAGTAATATCAACTTATTCCTGAAAAAGCGATAAAACGGTCAATAACAAACTTTTGACGTATTTTGGCCCCATAACTGAGCCTTAGTAGTAGCTTCGTGACCCAGTTGTGGGGACGAAATGCGTTAAAAGCTTGACCGGTTTTATGCTTTTTCTGGGAATAAATTATGTTGGAATGTTAATTGGCTTCCGTCTAAATTGGTCCGAACATGTGCGATAGGGACCTTGGATTGTAAGCTCCTTGAGGGCAGGGCCTGATTTGAAAGTGCACTGAGTAAAGCATTTCGAGAATTGTTGGCACTATATAAATGCCAATAAATAAAATTACTGGACTGACCCTGTTTCCACTGCCAGTTTTCTGTGGACTCTTGGATTTAAGTCTTAGAATGTTTATCTGGCACTGAGGTTCCATTAGCGGAGTGGATGTGTGGGAGTTGAGCTTCTCAATTTCTGTCTATTATATAAAACAGGAAGTGTCAGGAAATTTCTACAAAGTGAGGGCACAGGAGTGCACAGATAGTTCCCATGTGAATTGGGGTGACTCAAAATTCATACATTTCCCAACACGGTCTGTCCTGGTGACAATGACAGGGTGACTGTACCCAGCAGAGACGCGCAAGGCCATATAATCCTGACGGTTTTTACTTTTTCCATACTTATGACTGAAAGAAATTGTTTAGCTTTTAGATACACTATATTGCCAGAAGTATTGGGATGCCTGCCTTTACACGCACATGAACTTTAATGGCATCCCAGTCTTAGTCCGTAAGGTTCAATATTGAGTTGTCCCACCCTTTGCCGCTATAACAGCTTCATCTCTTCTGGGAAGGCGTCCACAAGGTTTAGGAGTGTGTCTATGGGAATGTTTGACCATTCTTCCAGAAGCGCATTTGTGAGGTCAGGTACTGATGTTGGATGAGAAGGCCTGGCTCGCATTCTCCGCTCTAATTCATCCCAAAGGTGTTCTATCGGGTTGAGGTCAGGACTCTGTGCAGGTCAGTCAAGTTCCTCCACCTCAAACTCGCTCATCCATGTCTTTATGGACCTTGCCTTGTGCACTGTTGGGAGCATGAAATTGTCCAAGATGTCTTGGTATGCTGATGCCTTAAGAGTTCCCTTCACTGGAACTAAGGGGCCAAGCCCAACCCATGAAAAACAAACCCACACCATAATCCCCCCTCCATCAAACTTTACACTTGGCACAATGCGGTCAGGCAAGTACCGTTCTCCTGGCAACCGCCAAATCCAGACACGTCCATCAGATTGCCTGACAGAGAACCGTCATTCGTCACTCCAGAGAACACGTCCCCACTTCTCTAGAGTCCAGTGGTGGCGTGCTTTACACCATTGCATCCGACGCTTTGCATTGCACTTGGTGATGTAAGGCTTGGATGCAGCTGCTCGGCCATGGAAACCCATTTCATGAAGCTCTGTTGTGCCAATCTGAAGGCCACGTGAAGTTTGGAGGTCTGTGGCTATTGACTCTGAAGATAGTTGGCGACTTCTGTGCACTGTGCGCTTCAGCATGCGCTGACCCCGCTCTGTCATTTTACGTGGCCTACCACTTCGTGGCTGAGTTGCTGCTGTTACCAGTTGCTTCCACTTAGTGGTATTATAACAAACAGTTATACCTCCAGCCTTGTCTTCAGTCTTGCACAGGAAATTGCTTACCCTGATGTCACTGCACGCTGAGCTTCTCACATTGTGCATTAGAAGCTGAAACAAGTCGGAGCCCGCCTCGTTTCCTGGCTGGAGGATGTCCGGCAACATCTAGCTCATTCCTCATCTGCTTGGCCCGCCAGTCATTTATTGGATTTCAGTCCCTTAAACACATGTTGGTGCTACCTAGGGTCGCCTGCTTGCAAATGCAGCCTGCCTAGGAATGCCCACTCCTCTAGGCTGACAACCATTGATCAAGGCATTTTTATATTTGCACACTGCTTGTATAAGGGCTCTTGAAAGGAGTACTGAGACAGGGTGCTGTAATGGTTTCAGGAAGCTATGTACTGTACCCTGCCACCAGCCATGACATAGAGAATGACATAGAACCAGTGATGTAACTGAGTCCAAAATAAGGTGAGTAATGAAAATGGAAAGGCTTCATTGGCACGTATATTGCAAGCCACGTTGTGGAATAAACAATGCGGTGTTACTAATTTGCCCATTTATTTTTTTGTTTTCACACATCTGCGTACTCAGGAGCAGTAAGTCAAATGTTCTAAAATGAGGACAGGTGAGCAAAATGTATGGAACACGTTTAGGGCTGCAACTAATGATTATATTCAGAATCAATTACTTGGCCGATTTTTTATTTTTTATTTTTTTTTTATTATTATTAATCTGATAAATGAAACCCCATCCTTAATTTAAAATACTCAAACGCAGTGTCACAAAGTTTAATTCAGAATACATCTGCATGCACAATTTGTTGCAATCGCACAGCATTGCGGGACTGTGCATTCCAGTGCGGGCGATCACACTTTGGGGTTCATTGAAATGAATGGCACTGCAACGCACCTCCTGCAGCAGAATGTGTCATGCCGAAACCAAAAGTGACTTTTTAAGACTTTTTTTATACAGTAATTGTATTGTAAGCACATGACGCTTGAATAGCTTCAGCCAGGGAATGACAGCTGAATGTAAATACAGCAGGTAGCGGCTGCAATAGCCAGCCTGCTAATGGCCATTTCAAACTGCTTGCTGTGCCCTCCTCCCAGCGTGGAGGAGAGCTAGGAGATCCAACCATCTAATCGATAATGATAATAGTTGACAACTATTCTTATTGATTAGTTGGCTGCAGCCCTACACAAGTTATTGACCGTTCCCATACAGACTTAAGGTTGTAGATTTCCTGCTTGCGATGTTTTTTGTTCCAGTCTCTTTGGCACATTTCAGTTCTTTGGGCTGTGTGCTGACTGATAATAGACTGTAGATAAGGGGACCCTATCGGCTGGAAATTCTTCATTTTCTGAAAGTATACAACGGTACATGAACAAGGCAACCATGTTTTAGCTTTTATTTGTAGAGACATTCACATTCTAGAAGTAATAATAATGGCGTTATAGAGAATGACCCCTTCCTTTGTATTGTTCACCTCCTTCCTAAAGCTGGACATAGTCTGCCCGAATTATGGC